AGAAAACAGGAAGAATGGGTAGATTCTAGAAATACTACTAGTAATATAAAACCTGAAGTGAGTTTACATTTTCCCCTGACTCTATACCATAATAGCTTGTCAAATTCTTTATGAAACTATTGTTATGTCTTTGTTCACTTTTTTCAAGCATGTCCCTGCACAATCCTTCGTTTTACCATTGTTGGCAATGGCCGAGTGAACAGACCAAAATCTTTCTTTTGGCTGCTAGTTCAAAATATATTATTACAATAATGCCATAGATGAGGTTTATGTTTACTTATTTTGCAATTTTGGATGAGCAAAAATCAAGACCAATTCAACATCAAAAGTGAACAAAGACCTATAAAATTACAAAGAAATGTATGTTTACTAGAGGGACAAGCATCCCCATTAACGATACAGCTCTTTGTAAATTTTGAGATGCATGATAGTTATGATTCATCAGCTTTTTAATTATAAATCAAGCCAAGCTTTCGAGCATCTTGCTCTTCATCAGGGCAAACGTTTATAAATATTTATTAAATTATTACAGGATTTTCAAAAAAAGTTATCTGGCCGATTTAGAGAAATTTGAACATAAACAAAAAGGCCGAATTTTGGTCATAATTTTGCGAGAAATACTGTACGTAAAAAAATTATTACTCAGCTACTAAAACATTATTTCCAACCAAACGTTTACAGCTCATAACTATAAAGTCGATGGACGTTTCTGTGTACTTTGAAGCTACGTTACTTAGTTCCACATATTTTACTAGTAATGGTATTGTGTATGAAAAATGAGCAAAATCGAGGTTTGAAAATGTTTGCATTATTTTCTCAAAATCTACGCCACAGAATCTTTTCAAACTTTGATCTTTTGTAAGTCACATATCATAGGTTGTGTATTAAATGAAACATTTGAAATAAAACGAGGGAAACACATAATTTGTTTTTTTCTTAATTCTACTATTTCCTTATAACTTTGATTTATTTACATACCTACCTTGGACGATTCTCCACTTTGTTTACTTAACTAAGAGAAATCGAAATTAGCCTCGGACTTAACCAAAATTTATTACTTGCTTGTGTTGTTCACGTAATGTTTTGCTTCTGTGCTTGATGCTTTTATTTTTTTAATATCCACGTAACTTCTTATAGTATACGCATTTGCGTATGTATGTACGACTGTGTATGTACTACAGGTAATCGTAACGCAAAATTCAGGACGCTACCTATCGTGCTCTCTTGGTTTTAACCATTTCTAGATGTGTTCTCCACGTTCTTCATTAAACTAAAAGAAATAAGCCTCCACTTACCCAAATTTGTAGATATCTTTATCTCTTGATTCAAGAATGGATCAATCCACAGGTAGCCCAAGCTTGGTTTCTGTGGTGTCCTGTTATAAGGAAATGTATGGGGAATCATCAAAAATTTCAATAAAATCATTGGAACGTGAAATAAAGCCTCGAAATTTTACCCTATCATTGAGAAATAGCACTTCTTTCGCTCTGCGTGGTTATTTTTTGAATTTAGCCCGTTTTAAGTATTTTTTTCTTATTTCTTACTGGTGGGGTAAAAAATACTTAAAACGGGCTAAATTCAAAATATAACCACGCAGAGCGAAAGAAGTGCTATTTCTCAATGATCGGGTAAAATTTCGAGGCTTTATTTCACGTTTTGATGATTTTATTGAAATTTTTGATGATTCCCCATACATTTCCTTATAACAGGACACCACAGAAACCAAGCTTGGGCTACCTGTGATCAATCGACAAAACATCACATCTCTATCGGCACGTGCCGGTATAGTAGTCGAGCGCTGATTGGATTAACTCTACATTAGGGTAAGTGTTGATTGGCCACATTGACGGTTGACACGTTGATAGTTTTGACATTTTTTTAAACTTCCCGCGAATCTTTTACTTAGCAAATCGAGGGCCATTTTTTATTCGATTAATTGTTTTTACCACAAAAAGTCTACTAAGGAACTGTTCGCACTAGGTAGACAAAATTGTACTTTTCAGAACATCGTAAACATAACACTCTTTCCATTGTATGCTTATTGTAAGCTTATTCAAACAATCCACCTGTTAGATCTGAAAAGCCTTTAATGAGTTTTTAGTGTAGTTCTCTTGTTCTCTTTGTCTTAGGTTTGTTTATAAGTGTTCTATAGCTTTTGTTTCACTCGTTTCAGTCTAAGTATTTTCGTCATTGTTTCGTCATTTAGTCTTGTCCCTTAGGAGYTTTYGTACGCCWTATATACGCCCTCTATGTAAATACTTAGTTAGTTGGTGCTCGCAGTTTCGTCCCTTCGTACACAAATGTAAGTTATTCGTTTCTATAGTTCTTATCGTTTTGCAGTTTAATGTTTCGTAGTTTTTCCTATTTGTCATACGTACTAAGTTATTTATCTATTTAATGTGTTTATTCAGTCTTTACCGTACGTTTTACGTATGTGTAAGAAATAAAATCAAGAGTATGGGACAAGCAGTGCCAACACCACCCATGTGAAGCTTTTTGAGTACCAATGAACATCTTCAGATTTGATTACATTTTCCCTTGAATGACAGTACCTCTGTTGAGCATTATTATGAAGATAAAGATAATGATCTGTTGTCTTTGAATGATTTTAAAGAATTACAAGCTTCTTTACATATCACTATTTATCATAAGAAAACAAAATACAATTGTTTTTCTAAAAATATTTATTGCAGTAAAATTTCAGTGCAACTAGTTGATTCTTTTTTTAAGCATTATGAAAAGCACACTACAAAACTCCTATAAATATATAATTTATACTAAAAATTACATACAGTGTTATTTTATTTTTGTTTTTTGTTTCTATGAAAACTATTAACACAGAAACCATACACATATTCTAGACTCAATGGACTACAGGGCCTGGTTGTACGAAGCCTGGAAAGAATTATCCACTGGATAAATCCTTCTCCAGTGGATAAGTCGATGAGTCAATCCAATTAATTTATGCACTAGATAAGATTTATCTGTCAGATAGTGCTATCCAGGCTTCGTATAACTGAGCCCAGATGTATATGAATAACGATATCCACTAAATTTGCAGCATTTCAGCCCTACCACTTTCGTTCTCATGCATAAGATAGCTGATTTGATTTCCTAGAGAAGAAAATCTCATAATTAAGGTGACAATAAAATCCCTCAAAATTTGAAAATTGCAAATTTGTAGTCAGGAAAATTCATTTTGTTTGAAATTCATAATTCATTAGGAGTATAGTTCTGGAGAATTTCTTTATAATCAACACCATTATTATTATTGTTGTTTTTTCTATTTCTAACCAAGGCAATAATTAAGAATATAACCAGCATTGTTAAGATAATTGCAATTATGAAGAAATTAAGTGTACAATAACTGAAGTAGATATTGTTATTGATGTTATTATTTTCGTCAATAACAACATCATTAGCATGAAGAAGTCTATTATCATAATGATTATTATCTTCAACTTGAATCGTGTCATGAACTTGAATGTCATTCAATGTTCCAATATATTCATCTCCAAATCTATCATCAACATCATTTCTTCCATAATTATCCTTAACTTCAAGAATATCTTTGTGGGATATTTCTGGTTCTTCTTGCAGGACTTGAGCTGATTTTCTGGAATCAGATGTGATTTGTGATGTGGATTCACCTCTCTGGATTGTAAAAGTAAGATATTTTATTATAAAAAGCTTTATTTGTTTAGTTATTTCTCTCGCTCATGAAATATAGCAAAGAGAAAAGCAAAGTTAGCACTAAGAATGGGAATAAAGAAAACAATCTACTGTAGAACATGTCTTGTTGGCCTCAAAAGTGGGTCGGAAAGCTACATGAACATGGCCGAAACTGGCCTATTTATTCTATTCAAAAATATTTCGTTTCATTTTGTTCTGCAAACTAGAGTAAAGCTCTATAAAGCCCTAAGAGATCAAGCAGCCATGATTGCAGCACTAAAGAAGTCATGCTTATGTCCCTTCCTGCGTGATTTATCACTCAACAAAGCACGGATAAAGCTTTTTTATAATTTGTTGATAAGTTCTCTCGTTCATATAGCCTTTTATGCTTTCCTATTTCGAGGTGTGTTTGGAGGAATGAAAAGTGGGTGTAGGCTTTTACACACCCTTTTTTAGGACAGCATAAGAAAAGCAAGCCTTTCTCCTCTTCATTGATTTCATCTTGATGATGTTTCTGAAGCATTTGAACAATCTCGATCTGCTGTAGACTTATCTTTACATATCTTTGCCTATGATGCATCATTTTCTTTTATCAAAGCTGGCCTGGCCTGTACTGTATTTCAGGCTGCTTGATCTCTTCACTCTTTGACCACTGTATTGTTTAACTTTGCCACATTGAATGACTTCCCAGCAAAAGGGGTTGCAGTAAAACGCGGAAATGGAAGGTGAAGTTTGCGGAAAGTGCACTAATTTATATATCAATAAAATGCAGAAAAATATTAGGCTAAGATTACCAGCAGAAATTAACAAATTAAGTCTTTAAAATAATAGATCTATCTAATTAGACTTATATACCTTAGAAAAAAGTAAACAAATTATTATATGCCTGCGAATATGGAAAATTTCAGCAGCAAATATTGGGGGAAAAAATTGGATTTCATAGAAAAAACTTTTTTCTTTTTCTGCTTGGGTTACCTGTGGATAATCGGGTTTGACATTTTATGGTGGATTTAGCGTAAGTTTCATCGGCGCTCGGCTTGAGAAAAAAAAAACCCAAAAACTAAAACCACAGAATTAAAGAATGACCTTTCAGGATTATGTGACAACAAATTTGGAAGTTTTGAGGTACTATCACTTATATTATTTTTCGCTGATCTTGAGCTAGTAGGCTTTCATACCGTAAAGCATGGTAGAGTGGCAAGTACCTCTTATGCGGTCTAGAAAAAATAGAAAAAAAAATGCCGAGGCAAAAACAAAACAAGCTTTTCGATTAAGGAAACACTAATGTATGTATCTGAACCTTTGGATTCTTTCGAAGGCATCAAAAAAATTTCCAGGAGAGTGAACCAAAATCGGTCAAGTTTTGAGTTCGATCGTAGCTAAAATTCGATCGAAGCAAAAAATAGCATATTTTGACATAAGCGGTTTTCGACGATTTTTCTCGTCTAATTTTGAAAAACTAATTTGGTACCTAGCACTATCAATCCACAAAATATGTAGTCTCCCTCGCATCCGTTTTTAGTGTCGTGACGACCATCAGAGCCAGATCAATTTTTTACCGTCCGCGATTCTGTGAATTTTGTCCCATATTTTTTACGCTATTTAAATCACAAGTAAAACGCAATTAGGAATGAAACGCTATGTAAAAAGAGCAATATACCTTAATATCTTGCTTCAGTGTTAATACTGCCTTCAAAAGAGTTTCTTTAGACTCGGTCTTAGTCATGATGGAATTTGTCTGAAAAAGAAAAATATCTTTATGAAGCAAGTTTCTTCTGCGTTCGTTCAAATTCAAAGGAATTCCTTCAAGCGACAGAGCGGAAAAACCGGACGCATCCGCATTAGAGACTATTTTCATGAGCAATCCAATATGGCGGACGAAGGGCGGTAAAAATCTGTCTCTAGGAAAATTGCTCTAAAAATGGACAAAAACGCAGCAATGACACTCAAAACTTTTGATCACAACTCGTAATCTGCCACAGTACTTGATCT